ATTGATGGATACAACGAACAATCGTTATTAATATACTAACGAGTCGCAATAGCAACTGCCCACAGGAAGGTCAATATAACCAACAGTCTAAACATTCTTAAACCTGTACAGTGAAAAATCAAAAACATCAGTTAGACCCTTATGCTACCATTGTCAATAAAGAAAAATAAATAACGAACGAACGAAACAGATAGAAAATAAGCTAAGAAAAGAAAATTCATTGATTATATTAATTAAATTATATTCATATTAAAATAATGTCAGCGCTGAAAAAAATATGCCGGGGGAAAAGGAGCAGACAAAGTTTTGGAAAATTTTTTATCGTCGTAACATTTCGGTTATAGGAATCACATCGCCCATAAATAAGTTCGAGCTTGCTTGGTATGCAAAGTGAAACAAAAACTTCACCAATATTTTTCGAAAAAGCTGTATCTAATTATCTTTCTATGACTAACAAGAAAGCTATTTGTATCAGATAACAGTGATGTTTACTCATCAATGCTATGGTAACACTTTATCTGATACAGCAATCTTAAACCAAGTTAAACATTTGAAATGAAAAAAATAACATTAATAATTTCCTTTTGTAGTGAAGAAGAAATACTTGTTATTAAAAATACACTACATAAATGTTTCAGCAAATATTTTAAAGCAACTTTAGAGTTATGTTTCCATTGCTTATAAAATTTACAAAAAAAGGAGAGAATTACATTTTTTCAGCAATATTCGCGTGTAGCAGGTGTAGTTAAACACTGAGCAACACGAGAAATTGAAGAAAAGTTAACTTATTTCTTGGGTGCTCTATAGCTTCTAGAGGGTTTAAATCACAACACAAATACACAAGTGCTATTTCATATTGCTTTTAATTAATTATAAAGAATATTTTGACCCTTTTCTGCAAGCTTGTATATAAGCTAAATTGCTTTTACTCCGTAAACAACATTGACGTTTCGGACGTTAGTTTTTCGTTGGAGTTTTATAAGTTTCTTTCATATAAATTTCTTGTATAAAATATACCAACGCAGTCCCTAATGACACTAATGTGAAATGTAATAAAAAAATATTAATTTTCTCTAATTATTCTTTCACTTTTATGTTAAATTAGAAAAAAATTGATTGACTCAGCCTAAATCAGCTCAATGGGAATCTACTTGCTCAATTTTTTAAATAATTATAATGATAGCATTTTAAATACTGAACAATTTAATTTTTGAATTTACGGATATATTTTTGTCAAATTTAACGTTGTTGGAATTAGGTATATCATTACATAAAAGATTCTCATGACTTAAGTAATGCTCTTATTTAAAATACTTACAATTTGCAACCTTTTGAAATGCTATCTCCCGCTAAAAGTGTCCCTGATAATTTACATTTGAAGTCCTGAAGACGAACGTCAAAGTTACATAATCAGGGAAATAGCTCAATCAATCAAGTTGAGGGGACTGCAAACTGACATGCACCAGGATGGGTCACAAAACACACAGGTAGATTTGATTATGATCAACGTATCCCATTTCTATTCTAATTCTCATTCCCATTTTCATTTCCATTTAGATTTGTATTTCTTATTCCCATTTCATTTCCATTATCTTCCTTCTTTTCTTTGACTATGTCTATCTCCACATTTCTTTCGTTATCAAAGCGCTTATTCATTGTATCAAAGCGATTATTCTTGCTCTCGTTTTGTAAATTTGCACCCCTTATCTCCCCCCTGGAACTTGCCCCACCGCGCACTAACCCTATGCCCCTTAACTGTAATAACAAATCAAACAGAAAGCTAACTCTTGTTCGATGTCAGGTGACACATGCGTGGTCAAGTGTTGGTCGTAGTCAGAGAAACGTGATTGTATTTGACTTTAATATCAACATGGTACGAGCTCGCTTAAGCCAAGTCTAAACGAGCTTTGCTTGGCTGGGATTATTCTTTCACATTATCGTTCGCGCGGGATCCCTGTGGTTTGAAAGGTTTTGGGCTTCCTTTGTCAAAGGCCAGGTCTCTCAGCTAAATTCAAGATGGTGGACACTATTATCAAGTGTTTCTTCGCTATAATATCTGCATCTTTTCAATCATGTGTTAGACATTTTAAGCTTTAAATGGAGAAAAAATCCCCAAAACGAATCTTCCAAATAAGGTAAGCTTACCAATTATGTATATATGGTTGATGAGCACGCGAACGACAATACTATTTGGGAGAAAGTTTACTTAGTAATTCAAAAATAAGTGTCATACAACATCACGTCTTTTACAATGATGATTGGCAATTAGTATTTATCATTATTATTGGCCTGGCTTAATTGGCAATCTATTATAATTTACTAAATGTGAGATTTTATAGATAAATCTAATGAACTGGGTCTATTGGTGACGTTTAGATCATAAATGATGCGAATTCATTTTTCCTCCGCCTCACTATCTCGGTTCCATATGTCACACATTCATCACACGCGTCACACAGTCACACGGTAACATACGTCACACATTTATCACTCGATCACACATCATTACGCATGACAATCCATGAATTTTTCGTGCGAAAGTCGTGCGCATGTGTTCAATGCACGATCCGGGATAGCGACGGTTATAATTCACTGACAAAATCCAAAATCTCAAACGCTTAAACTCAGAAACATCAAAATCGACCCCAATACGCTCAATAGACCCCTTTCGAATTACCGCTGTGTTTCTTGATTACAGACTCATTTGCACAGGATTAGCCTTGAGTTTATGCAGAATATTCACGTGTTCCAGTCAAGGTCCGTCGAGTTTCAAAATGTTTGTATTGTTGAAGTTGTGCATTCTTTACTTTTCTGTTGGTATTTGTGAATATTTAAACACTGATTCGAGGCTAACCCTGTGCAAATGAGTCTGTAATCGAGGAACACAGCGGTAATTTGGAATTCGAAACTGGTCTATTGCAAAATCATGGTTGGGTCAAAACATAGAACACAAAAACTGAGACCGAAATGGTACATGGGAAGTACGTTTATGGTACATGTTTTTATGACCCGTGGAAGTTCATTTCAAACGGAACCTATCGCCAGTCATCTTTATGCTTTTGTCTTTATATATGTCATTTCCCAGAAAGAAAGAAAAAATCCTATGTTTTGAACCCGAGAACGATTTTGCAGTGAAGTGTATACAATGGAGATTATCGTACAGATATCATCCAAGTGTCATTTACGTTGTAAAGGGCAGGTGCATCAATGTTATCGTCACATTGGCTCTCTGATTTATTGACCTGAGGGGTATGATATCCGTAAAAATATTTAGGAGGTTTATCCATTTGAAAGGGGATCGTGGCCAGGCGTACTGGTCCATTGAATCCCCAGTAACCCCATTGTTTAACCAGGGGTGTACTGGCATGGCCAGAGGGAACACTCGTGCCCCATCTTTCACAATTCTGACTCAGAAAGGACGTGTCCTCGCCCAGTCTATCGAAGGAGTCACAGGAGGTAGGGAAAACTGAGACTACATCAGGGCCGGTAAAGTAACTCACTACAGCTTGTCCAGCGGTGTTGTTCTTGGTCATGATGCTCACTACTCGACCCACGGATTTCTTGTGACAATAGAAATGAATCTGGTGGAATCCCATCACTTGAAGAATCTCCAACATTGCACCGACTGTAGGTGCAATCCACTTGTCTTGTCTGTGGTATAAGGATATCACCTCATATGTCCCAACGTTTTCGATTGGCGGAGGTCGATTTGTCGTTTGTAAGATACTTCTCTTAACTATCGTCCAACCACCTAAGAGCCAAAATCATTTTTATTATTTTCTTTACCATAAAATCCAAATCTGTTGGTAATTTACCTTGGATATCTTCCAGTATTAGATGTTATTATAATGATTTTCCTAGACCCAGTACTATAGTATGGGAGGTATTAATGAGCTCAGGTCCTTATCTGGGAATATGTTCTACTCCCAGACCCATTATGAGAGATAGATGCTTCTAGTAATGGGCTTCTGATCTGGGAATATGTTGGCTTACAGACCCAGTATGGGAGATGGATGCTCCTGGTAATAGGCTTCTGATCTGGGAATATGGTGGATTACAGACCCAGTATGAGAGATGGATGCTCCTGRTAATGGGCTCCTGATCTGGGAATATGTTGGCTTACAGACCCAGTATGGGAGATGGATGCTCCTGATAATGGGTTTATGATCTGTGAATATAGTGGCTTACAGACCCAGTATGGGAGATGGATGCACCTAGTAATGGGCTCCTGATCTTAGGAATATGCTGGCTCACAGACCCAGTATGGAAGATGGATGTTCCTATAGTAATATAAACTCATAATGTTGGAATATTTTGGTCCACAAACCCAGTGGGGAAAGAAATTAGTATGGCTTTTCATATGGTGACCACCATTTGAATTTGAATTTAACACAAGAGTCTTAGCTAGCTCACCTCCATCTGTTGTCATGTCACAGTAAGCTTGCATTGGGGTTCCTGTGTTAGCAGGGTCTATCCAGTAAACGCCTGTCCCAACTGAATCACCTCTGGCCAGTATTTCTAAACACGACTTGGCGGGAAGCTCTTTCGATCCCTTAAGCGGTTCTGCGAAAAGAAATCAAGTTATAAACTGAGGGAAACTTTAAGAGGTATTACTATAAGCATGCCGATGCATTCACTAAATTTCCGATGGTTTATCCTCTATTTCATCACGATATGACGTCAACAGTTGGTCAAAATACTATGTACTCACGAGGCGTAAAATTTTTTATCATAACTGGGGGGGGAGGGGACTAAACGGTGAAATGTCTTCAAATTTTGCTTCACGTGTCAAGGGAGCACGACAAATGCGCGCATATATTGGGCTTCCTGTGGTAAAAAATGGGCTTCCTGTGGTGATAACGAATGCGGTTTTTCGAAAAAATATAATGCGGGCTCAATCCAGTATGACGCTACACATAAGTTAATAATATATAATATACCAAAGCCCAACCAAAGCGCGACAACTGCTATAAAGCTAGGTCTTTCTGTGTCAAATTACGCCATCGCCACAGGAAACCCAACTTTTCAAAACCGCGCGCAAGCGCATTTGCCGTGCTCCCTTGCACGTGTACGAAAACTGAATGAGAAAAAATGATATGTTTTAACAATTAATGCCCTATCRGAATATTTTCATTTTTTCGTCAAGTGGAAGACTCACACCTCGAACTCGAACTCGAACCTAGGTCGCATTGCTGAAAGGCCTTGCTTCCCAATACACCGTTTCCTCAAGGCTGCGTGCGCTCGTGTTCTGGTATCATGGCTCGTCAAGTTGCGCACGCAACCTTGAGAAAACGGTCTATTTCCAATCTCGTACCCAGAGCCCTTATTTCTTACTGCGCATGCTCGACAAAATAATTGGGCTCTGGAAAACTCCAATATTTCCTGTGCTGTGATTGGTTCTCGAGAACAAAGGAAGATACCGGAAGTAAAAATTACAGTACTAGGGAAAATAAACAAGATGGCGTCTCGAATTAAGTACACCAAAAAAGCCTGTAGGGCCGGATTTTTCAAAGTTTTACCGGTTTTGTAATGGAAATTGTATTGATTTCCATGCAATAGATATTTTCGGAGTTAATTTAACTGAAAACCATCTTCAAAACCTAATTTTCCAATCGCAAATTCACATGTTCGTTGAACATCTTCCGCCATTTTGAATTTACCTAGTCTGTCATAATGTGCATGTGCGAGAAACCCAAAATCTGGGTCTTCCGGTTTGGAGTTTTCCAGAGCCCAATTATTTCGTCGAGCATGCGCAGTAAGAAATAAGGGTTCTAGGTACGAGATTGGGTCTATTTCGTACCTGGTGCTGGTGTCCGGAATGCCATATTTGTCGAGTAGATACTATTTATTCTCACTTCATAAAGTTCTGGTCGTGACTCTTTGGTTTGAGTGTTCAGGTCACATGTTTTTGTCAGCAAGTGAAAATTCACGCTCATACAATGCTCGTCGTCATGACACTGCATCATACATGTGGGGTAGTCTTTGGTCGTGAAGGATTTGTACGCTTTGCCAATTAGGGCTTTGTTCGTTTGTGATTGGACTAGAGGCACACAGTGTTGCTGGAGACTGACGGGGAATCTCATCACAATGATAAGCAACGTAACTTTTAAGATCTGATTAAAAAATATGACAATATTAACATGATAATTTATTTCTTATTTCGGTGCCAGTGGCAAGCTTTCAAACATAACGAAAGAGAGCTATTTAAGTGCCTATGACCTTTATTTTTTACTTTTTTAGGCTGCGTTTATAATGTATGGCAGGGGAGAGGGGGGGGGG